GCATGGTATTTGAAAATGCAGATGTATTTAGAAAAGTTGTAGCCAAATACACAGTTGAATATAAAGTGTAGTTAAAATTAAGGCCTAAAGATTCAAGAAGAATTAGGGTAAAGTGTAAGGCAAGAAATGTAAATGGTTATTGTTTGCTAGTATTGATTCTACTTCTGGTTATTTTATTGTCAAGAACTATTACCCTGTTCATAAGTGCCCCATATATAGTAAGAACAAGTTGTGCACTTTCGAATTTATTTCCAATAAATTTAAGGACAGAATCACATCCCACCCTAGAATTTCAATACTGGAAATTCAGAATTTAGTGAGGGATAAATTGGGGTTTTATGCTAGAAGATCTGCTAAAATGAGAGTTATTAGACAATTTATGGGTAATTAGAAAGAGGAATTATCAAGACTATGTGATTATGCTGAAATGATTAAACAAACAAATCCTAGAAGCTCGTGTTGGATTAGGACTGATAGGAAAACAGAACTTTGGAAGAATCTGTTTGTGTACTTTTATGTATGCTTTGATGCTTTAAAAAAGGGATAGCTTGAGGGGTGCAGGAGAATAATAAGATTTGATGGTTGCTTCTTGAAAGGAGCTTGTAAAGGATAATTGTTGGTTGCAATTGGGAAGAATGGCAACTAACAGATATATCCAATAACTTGGGTTGTTGTAGACACAGAAACTAAGCATTCTTGGAGTTGGTTCATTGACCATTTGATTACAGATCTAGAGTTAGGCAATGGAGAAGGATTAACTGTCATGTCAAATATGCTGAAGGAATCCACATATACTCTTTTTGTGTTTCTACTGGTTTTATTTATTTTGTTCTTGCTTTTAATTGCTTTTGCATATACTATTTTGCAGGGACTTGTACCAAGCATTAGTGAGCTGCTCCCTTGTGCTGAACACAAAATGTGTGTCAGGCATATTTGGTCAAATTGGTCTAAGAAGTGAAAAGGAGAGGAAAGAAGAAAATAATTTTGGAGATGTGCAAAGTCATCTTCTGAGGTAAAATTTAAATCAGAGTTAGCTTCATTATGCAGGCTGGGGAAAGAATATGTGAAGATTTATTGTGCTATAACAAGGATTATTGGTGTAGGGCATATTTTAGTGAGCATGCTAAGTGTGATGTAGTTGAGAATAATACGTGTGAGACATTCAATTCTTGAATACTAGGGCTTAGACACAAATCAATCATTAGCATATTGGAAGAGATTAGACATAAGATTATTACAAGGCATGTAGATATGAGAAATTTTGCTATTACATGGATTTCAGATATCTCACCAATGGCTAGACTACTATTAGAAGACAGTAAAGAACTTTCAAGAAGATGCTATGTTCTATTTAATGGTGATACAATGTTTGAGATTGGGGAGGAAAATCTCACATTCATTGTTGACACAGTAAATAAAACATGTACATGTAGATCTTGGATGTTGAGAGGAATATCATGTCCCCATGTTGTATGTTCTTATAGATATATAAATGAAGAACCTGGCGAGCATGTAGAAATTGGTATAGAAAGGATTATTTTCTCAGGGCCTATAAGTATGTTATTCAACCAATACCAGCATGAACATGTGGCATGTTACTAGTAATATCAAAATTAAACCTCTAGTTCCAAAGGTGATGCCAGAAAGACCAAAAAGGTATAGAAGAAAGTCTAAAGATGAACCTAAAAAGAAATGGGGAAAGTGGTCCAAGAAAAGAGTAAAAATTACTTGCTCGAAATGTCAACAACAACAAGGACATAACAAAACTCACTGTCCAGGAGTGGTAAGTACACTAATGCTTTATATTATTCTAATTATTATATGTACATATATATATATATATATATATATATATATAATTTGTAGGCTCAATCAAGCTAACAAGCTCGGTCAAGCCAACAAACTCAATCAAGCCAACAGGCTTCAAATACTGTCCCAACATCTGTATGCCATGACACATCAGCAGTAAGAAGAAATGCGAAAGGAAGAGGCAGGGGAACAAAGAGGGGTAGTACTACAACTGGAGGAATAGGCAGGGGAATAGGAGAGGGATACTACTGTTAGAGGAAGAGGTAGGGGAATGGGGAGGGGTACTACTGCTGGAGGAAGAGGTAGAGGAATAGGGAGGGGTACTACTGCTAGAATAAAGAGAGGAAGGGAAAGTGCTTCTGAAGATGGATACAGGGGGCCATGTATTCCAGTAAGAGAACCAACAGAACCAACTGATGTTGGAGGAGGAGTTAGAGGACAAAAAAATCAAACTGGATTTAGGTTATATGTAGACTATGAAACATCAAGGACAATACTCAATGTAAGTAAACCATGACCTTTTTGATTTACCAGAATGTGATGCTTACAATTGGTACTGATTAAGTGTAATTATTTGGGTAATTTCAACCTGGTACAACTGGTGAAAGACTTATCATGGGTGGAATATCTTTTATGAGTACATCTAGTACCAATATTGACATTGGCTTTAAACCACATGGCCTGAAATGGAAGGGAAGAAAGGCAATAACAACTGCCCAGCTACAACAGATGAGAATGTCAACTAGAAGAAGCAACACAACAACACCTTCATGAAAGAACAAGTGACAAGTAGTTTGTATAGGAAATTCTTTGTTTTAGTCAATATTTTGGATGTTGTTAGGTGTTTAAAATAGCCGGACTTAGTAGGCCAATTAAACTTTTATTTTGTCTATGTAACATACTTGGCTGACTAGTTTTTTGTGTCTATGTATTCTGCCTTGGCTGACTAGTTTAACTTGGGAGCTCATTATAATGAGCTATATATCTACTGCATTTGTCATTGAGTAATTGTGATTGGTATTCGTCATGATTCATTATCATTGTTATTGGAGGTTATCGCTATCAAAAATTACAAAGCCAATACAAGCTGAAAACTTCTGTCAAAATAGAGCATAAAATTTAACCCGAATATTCATATTAATGATGCATTTAAGCAGTACACAATTGAAGGTAAAATTGCATATTACATTGACCCTAAGTACATTGCCTTAGCACCATTCCATAATACATACCAATACTCTATAATAAACTAAATAGAATCCCTAAACCAAGTCCAGATTATGTAAACAACAAGTACAACAATTATCCACTTTGACTGAACCCTCTCTTTTTCATATGTATTAACTTTCCTCAAAAGACCAGAAATCAATCTCCTTATTTGCTCCAGCATTTGATCATCGTGCCACCTAAAGAATTCGCATGCACCAGGAGCCTGCAATAAAGAATAGATTTAGGTTATCAAAAGAATAGATTCGCATTGCAATTTGAGGAGGGTCTGAAGATTTAGGCTATCATAAAAATAGACAAAATACACTTACTTTGCCTAATTGGCCGCAATAGAACCTACGACCTGGGTTTTTATCAGTCCATGATGTTTAAAACAATGCAACACGCCCACATCGACAGAAATACACCATTTTTTACCAATCTGATTGTAGGATTTGAGCTCTATAATTGTTGTCTAAGAAGAGAGTACAAGATGAGAAAAATTAGGGCTTTGATAGGGAAAGAACAAGACTTTATGCCGGGAATAGGTCTACTATGACAGATTTATAAAAAGAGAATATGAGATAAGTTAGGGCTCTTTCTTTAGCAATGTTCGAAGAGAAAAGAAAGAGAAAAAATGAATTTAGGATTATATGTTGGTGGGTTTATAAAAGGGGTTGAGATAAAATTATTGTTTTGTACCATTGAAAAGCCATGTTAGCCTAAAAATGAAAAGTTCACGCGCTCAATATAGGTGGCACTCACGTTTTATGCCAGGTAAGTGAGCAGTATTTAATAGACACATAAGTCAATAAAGACAGGTAGTCAATAGGTACAGAGCCAAATTGAGGTAGCAAATTGAAAGAGTGAGCCAAGTTTAGGTAGCCGTCTAGGTATTCTGCCTTGTTTGAATGTTGATAATTTGTGCGTAAATTTTTAGTTTATACACTGAGAGGTCAACTGTAGTGTTTGAACAATTTAGCAGATAGGTCAGTTGTAGATAACATAAAGTCATTCCAATTTGGTACGATTTGGTGAATAATTGATCAAGCACAAAATTATGCCAACTAGGTCGAATTTGTGAACAATCTTACAAATAGGCCAAATGCGGTTAACACAAAGTAATGACAATATGAGAGTTTGGTGAACAATTGAACAATCATAAAGTCACGCCAACCGAGTAAAACTTGTGAAGAATGATTAATATACGTGGAGTAAATATGACACAAAATCTATTAATCCGGTAAAAAATATCTCTGACAAGCAATAAGTGTGTGTGGGACATCATTTTCTAAATACTTTAAAAAACGGAGGCACTATTTAAACACCAGCCCTTTTGTAATCATTCCGATCTATATCCTTTTAAATTGTTTGATCCCAAATAACAATTTCAGGCTCAAGCTCAAGAATGGAGAACTTTTTGATATATCACTCCTTAATGGGTTCACTCAACCCGAATCCAAAATAGTCAAACCACTGAGTTCCGAATACGCAATGGTTAAACAAAAAAAAACATTAAGTGAAATCTTGAATGATGGGAAAACGTTAAGTATAAGGAGTTGCAAACTTGCCAACTTTCCGAATCCCAACTTGAAGCATAAGGAATTGCCAACTTTACAATTTTACTTTTAGTTCGACTTTTAATTTTAATTTGACTTCTTATTGATTTCCATAAGTGATACTAGTCACTACATAAAACATTGGGCAATCTTTGCCAGTCTTCAGCATAACGCTCTTTCTTTTCATGCTTTAACCAAATTATTATGTTTTCCTTTTTTTTTTTTACAACCCGTTTTACCAATTATGGTATCCGTTTTTTCCACTGGGCAATTTGTAGGCAACTCTAATATTACTTTGTACTATCAGAATAGCCATCAAAGAACGGTCCATGGTAGTGACTAATCAGCAATCAAAACGTTTCTTTCCAGGAACCACAATGAAAACAAGGGATTACTCTTTTTCATTTTTAAATTTGGGAAAAATGAATGTGCTAAATGCGAAATAAACTTTATAATGATAACTTTTCTGATCCAAGGATACAATGACCCACATTTGGGTGCTAACTATTCAGGAAGAACGGAATAGAAACAAGAGAAAAAAAAAAATCAAAACACATGTACACATGTTACATCAAATAAAACTTTATCTAAGGAATTGGGTGAATAAGGCAAGCTTCTACTCCAAAGTCTTCAGAAGCCTAAACAGCCCTGCGGCCTCTCTAATCCTTGAGAACTCAATACAAAATGCTTGTACTTCAATGAAGAGATCATGGACTGCAGAGAACAAAAGAAACACCAAGTATTCAGTCAACAAGTATATCTTTTAGCATCCTGGTATCCCACAGATGTCTTTTGTGGTTTTCTCACAAATCGAACAAAGAACAACCAGTAACCACTCCCCAATAAAATGCAGACGTACATTTTTAATTAAGAAATACAGACGTACATCAATGCATGGTACTAACTTAAAAGCAAGGGTAGGCCATATAGTCCACACATTATGCACTTAACAGCATTTGCCAAGACTAGGCTCAGAAAGTTACTGCAAGCTGAAATACCAAAATTTCAGTGACAGATAAGCAAACATCAACCCGAGCATTAAAGGTGTGCATCTTGGTTTAATGCATCTAGTCTCGTTATTATTCTCTCATTCTTCCTCTGTCCCAACCCCACAGATAAATTGGCACTTGCGCTCCATCTAGCTGCTTGTTTCTTGTTGAATTCTCAAAATACTCATCATAAGATGTATGAATATATGTTGTATTGCATGCTATTTAATTAATGGAATACACTAAAACGATGATAATAGACACTTACCATTTATGATCTTATTCCGGATCAAGCTCTGTAGGAAAACACAGACAAGTCTTACAAGTCGGTTTTGCATATATCTATCCTGAAATTTTGGAAAAGAAGTATGTTAACCACGCAACAAATGAGAATAACATTGTAGATTCTAGGAATGTCAGCAAAAGGAAATCAATGAGCGTTTATGACACACAATTCATATGTCACAGACCCTTTCCTTCCTACATTAGAGATTTGGAGCCCACTTCCAAGTGAAACAGATTCACACCCTTTCCGTTATTATACTAAGTATCAGTTCACTGATTCACTAACTTGTGACATCTATTCTTTACCAGCTATAACAAAAAATGTAACCGAAAAGAACTACATGATCGAAATAGAATGAGATGCAAAGGTCTTATAATCTCCAGAAGCAGGATAGTTGCAGGCAAGTAACACTGTTTTCCCAAATTAATAGTATTTCACCCCACATGCTTTATGATAAGGAACATCATCAAGGAACCTACAGAAATACCAAGTTTCCTCCATCACAACACCAATCTGAAATTGGGACGATAAATGGGTGACAAACCAATTCAAGAATAGCATGGTAACCCAAGTAACTCCTGCCTCCTGGTCAGTTAAGAGTTTGAATAAGTCACACTCCGAGTAACCTAATAATTGCCCGGTTCAATAAATTGAGCCGCTTCAAGTCAATGGAAAGTTCAACTAATAGAAAAGAAGTTGTGCAGATAGAGGACCTTGATGTTCTCGCAGGAAGATATACAATTGGTGATGTACATATGTATGAATTCGGTTGGCAATTCAACTGCTTGAGTGAGCCTGTTAACAACTTCCATTGAATGAAGACTCATCTCCATATTAACAAGAACGGTAAAATATCTGCAACAAGATATAAACTGCAGAATCTCAGAATGTGTGATGAAATTCAGTGCAACGTCCATACAAAATACGGAATGGTAGTTCTACAACCTTCAATAAAGAAAGACAGTTCAACTAAACCACTTAACTGACACTTGCAATCTCGGAATTAGCATATAAGGCTTTGAAATCATGAACAAAAGGGCATCACGAATGTTAATCAATAAACAAGGGATCAAGGAACAAGGACATACTCTGCAATCTCTGGTGAATTGACCAGCTTAACCAGAACTTCAACTGCAATAATAGGATTGTTCTCCACAAGTTCCTGAAAAGAGAACATAATATCTTCAGAATCAGGAAAGCCGTTAGTTAGTAGGAACTCATAATACAAAGGGTTGCAGAACTCATACTGGAAGCTTCCTTGGTGTCAACCCACAATGGTAGACAAGCTTTGGGTCATTTGCCAACTCCAATAGTACTTGCTGGTCAAGAGTAAGAGAAACACTTTCAAGAAGTTGCTAATGAATACACCAAAAGTCACAAGATGAAAAGAATAAGTGAATGAGCTTTCTCGATCATTACTCTCTCGGTAGTCATAAGAAATAATGAATTTGCTTTGCTAAACTAAAGCTTCCTATTAAAGAATTATTTTGAAGAAGCAGGAATAAACAACTTGTAATGAAAATTTGAAGGAATACTATCCAACCAATGATGAACCTAGGGTGCAAAGCTTCTCCATTCTCTCTCGAAAATTGATTCAAACAGCGAGCAACTATCAAACAACTACAACAAAACCATCCATTTTCGAACCGAACATGGTAACTTAAGGCTACAATAAGGTGATGTGAAAAGTGATAAGTTGATTTATATTTCAGTTGGGGAATGGAAAGGAAAACCTACCATTTTCTGGTAAAAATCATACGCTATCACTATGAAAACATCACAGGCTATATTTGTCCCACCTGGTTAAATGAGAACTTCCAAGATCTTAGCTACTCTACCATTTACGTTAAGATTTTTGTTCGATGCTCAAATTCTTCCCCATGGTATCAAAGCAGACATTTTTAAGCTCATTCTCACTAGTAAGATCGTCATCACAAGTAAAGCAACTATGCCTCAATCCCAAACAAGTTAGAAGCTGGCTATATGAATTCACATCGGCAATGTCATTCTATTTAAGCTCAGGACAATATTACACAAAATAAAAATAAATGACGATGTCACTCCATACGTAATCAGATGTGAATCCCAAAACCAGGATGTTGAGCTATATGGTTGTCCAACATGGAATATATAAGATTTTACAAGAGTAGGGATGGCAAGTGGTGCGGTGCGGTTGCAGGGCAAACCCACATACACCCGCGAAGATCTCAACCCGCCCTGCCCCGCATAGCATTTTCACCCGCGTCCNGCAGCAGTATCTTAAAACAACAATTTTTTATGTTTAGCTTCTTAATTTCTCTTGAAAGTGACACTGGAAAATGTCAACATAGTACATCCAGTTTTAGTTTTTAAAACTGAAACGATAATCTACAAAATTGAATTATAAAGTAGTTTAAAATTATTACCACTATTCCTACGGACAAAACGAGTCACGAATGTTCCTGATTCATCTCGTCCACTCCACACACCAACAGAATCAAAGAGCTTGTTGTTACTAAATAAGGATACAGGGTCTGATCAGCATTACCTATTGGAGATCAAGACTTAAAAGGCAAAATGACCCCATAAATTCTTCACCCGCATAAACCTGCATAGACCCGCAACCCGCCCCGCATCAATTTCTATGAAAAGTATTTTAACCCGCCCCGCACCGCCCCAAACCCGCACCGCCCGTTTGTCATCCCTATACAAGAGATCAGGTTTTTGGGTAATCCAATCCATTGTCTTGGGTTTTGAGTTGCAAGTTTAATTCTTTCAAAAGTACTAATAGGTGGCAAGGAGCAGAAACTTCATTAGCCGCAACACAATTGGTAGCAGATTGATCTTATTGTAACATACTTCACCTAGAGAATCAGAAGGAACTGAAAACTTGTCCAGACTGAGGTGGGAATATTATCTTGCAAAACTTTAACATCTATGGGAGGTATGTAGGCATAGTTGCAACTGAGGGCTATAAGTGATGTTATTATTAAGCCAGAAATTACGGACAACACCTCAGGAAAGACAGCTATAAAAGTCCAAAAAAATTGTAGAAAAAGCCAACGCATAAGAAAAACTTTTCTGAGATTCTCAGTAACATATAGTTACTGAGATGGTAAAACAGAGAAGATGAGTAATGGATCGGGGGATGGATTAATAGGCAAAGAATGATCGAGAAAAGACTTCCGAGTTACGACAGCAGACGACTAGGCTAGTCAGAAGAATTGAAGCTAGATCCATTAAGCTCTAATATTCAAAGGTGGATTCTGAGCAAACAGATGGTGACAGCACACAGCAAGGGCCAAGTTTATGAAATGAATGGACTACAAATCAGGGAATGGTCCAGAAAAATTAAATTAAAAATCAGGGAATTGAGAAAAGAGACAAAATTAAATTAGGGAATGGTCCGGAAAGAAATGATATTGAAATGGTGGACAGTGGCAGCTGGCTGTTTCCCAACATATCTATAAACTAAAACGAGTATGGATAAGACTGTTTGGGTTGCGCTATATTTGCGGCTGGAGACAAATCTATGGGCGACAGTCAGTGAGAGCAGTGGTTGGTTGGAGATAGACTAAGCAACTAGTTTGAAAACCAACTCCGATGGACTCGTCCAAGTGATCAAGACACTATTTAGAAATTCACAAGACGTCTTAGAGGAGCTGGAGTAAAGTTTCCATTTAGGCACAGACCAACACAAGAATCAAAATAGAAACATAGACTAGACAAAAGACTGAGGAATGATATACCAAAAAGTAAAATAGGTGAAAATGGGGGTTCAAATGAAACCACGGCTACAAGTGAAGTTGATTCAGTTTTAAGCAATAAAAGGAAAGGCATTCAAGAAAGATATGTTGTGTAGGAACACTTTCAAAAGCTGGTTGATGGTCCTAATGGGGTAACAATTGTAAAATGTAAATACTGTGATTTTACGAAAGAAGATTTTAATATCAAAAATGGAACGTCGGGATTGAAAGGTCATATGAGCAAGTGTGTGAAATTTCCCTATAATGTTGAAACAAATCAAAGTTTGATAGGCTTTCAACCAATTTCAGGTGGTAAAAAGGATATGGGAATGCCCGTCTCTTGGAAATTTGATAAAAAACTTTGCAGAAGGGCTTTAGCTAAAATGATAATTCTTAATGAGCAACCTTTTAGCCATATTGAAAAAGAAGGTTTTAAGAACTTTGTGAGTGCTTCAATTTCGGGTTCCTTCCCGTCATACAGTGACGGACAATGTATATATCTTTGGATTGGTCAAAAAGGAGTCGTTGGGGATGAATTACAGGTTGATATAATTAGTTGAGGCAACAAGGAGATAGCACACCTGTTCTGGGAAGTTCCATAATTCAGATTTGGTCATTCAAATGAGAGGTACTCACATGGAAAAGGAGAAAATGGTCAAGGACTCGGCAAATGTAAGGTGGACATGAAGACATGATCGACAAGAATAATGGGCCTACAGCAAGCACACAAGGAGGACGGTCTAAGAAGGTGCAAAACACAAAGTGAAGCCAGAGAATTTCATTTATAGGTCCTCATAGGTGGGCCTCAAAGCGGCCAATAGAAACATTGATGTTCAATTTAGTAATAATTAAAGTTTTGGTCATATCTTACTAACCGACTAAAATCTCGAAATACTTTGACCTAATAAAAGGAGAGGAGGAAAGCCAAATGGCAAAACCGACAAGGTACCTTGGGCAGCATGAAACAGAGGAATCAAATTCAGGGGATTAATGGTCATTAAAGTGAGAAAGAAGCCTTAGAATGGAGAAATTGCTCCCAGAGGAAGTCTTCCACAATTGAGACATGCGACAAAGTCCCATTACTAGCAATATCAAAGGACAAAGGTCAACCACGTTTTCTAGAAACACCCAATGGAGATGGAAACATCATCTTGGATTTGAGAATACCATAGACTACGCAAGCAGCTAGGTGCCAACTTTGAAGGCTTTGAGGATGTTAAGCTTCCCATATTGGTAGAGGAAATGTAATGTTGTTTTCCTTAGGTGGTCTTGGGAACCCTCACCTCACGAGCTAAAATTTTGGAGTTGTGTTAGGCCCAAAGTCCATTTTCAACTCATTCCAATTCTTCGTTTACTGATATGGGGCCCTTATACTGTCCCTGCATTAAATGTTTAGCCATGGGCATGCAGTGTGTGTTTAAGTGTTTCACACTGGCTAAGGGAATGAGATATTACCTCCTTGTATGATCTTGGACAATCCTCATCTCGAGTTAGCTTTCGGGGTTGAATTAGACCCAAGATCGATTTTCTAAACTGAGGACAAAGCACTGAACTTTTTTCTTGTTATTGATATATACCACCAAGAAAAGGGTGTTGTCACCGCAAGCAATTCAAGCGACTCTAAGGTAAAACGGATAAAGAGAGCTCAAAAACCAAGAATTCTAAGTCAACCAGGAGACTGAGCAGGCCAAGACTGTCGATGGATGGACGAAAATGAAGTCGAGGATCATAACTTGGAATATAAGGGGCTTGAACAGTAAGGGAAAACATAGACAGAGAAAATTGTTTGGCCATAAGTGGAGAGCAAGACATATGCTGCTTGTGAAAAAGGAAACTTGAAGATCTACTGAGATAGCAGCTAGACAAATTCGCATGCAAATGGGTGGGGCATGTAATCTTGGTGCATCAAGTAGGCCGAGATGTTAAATTTTTTTATGGCATAAAATAGAATACGCAGGTGAAATTATGGCAAGTGGCCACTGAAGCATTAGTGTTATGTTGTCGAGCTTTTTCCAGAATGTTGACACTAGAGTATATAGTTCTACCTTCTAATATTATTAGAAAAAAGAGGGTGGATTTTTTATTTGAGATGTCAAATGCCAGGGGTTGTGTTGGACCTCAGTAATAATACCACCAAGTAGGCAACGGAAAGAAACAACAACAATAGGACATACAGCACAATGGCTGAATTCTCTAAATGGTAGAAGAATGGAATTGATTGACCCTTCTTTATCTGGTGGAAAATTTACCTAACAAAAAGGAGACAATGCAAGAGTAGCGTCAAGGATTGACAGATTTCTTTTTCCACTAAGTGGGATGATGAATTTAAATTAAAAAATCAGCTCCATCGGACTATCATCAGATCACACTGCCCCTATGCTCACTGTTATCACCAGGAAAACATTAGCTCCTAATTCAAGTTGGTAAACCTGTGAATGAAGGTTTAGAGTTTCATACACATGGTCCAAAGTTGGCAGAGCATTTTTGAGGTAGAAGGGAACCAAGGATACCAGATTATGTTCAGGCAAAAAAGAAAAAAGAAAAAAAATTAAAATGCTTCTCAAGCTGAAGGAATGGAGCACACGTCCCTTTGC